TGCAAAGCTACTTCAAAGAAATGCGAAAAATGTGCTTTTCCAATAAGATGAAAACTATTTTTAGCTGGAACGAAGTCGGAGCGGAGGTGGAGTGAGCTGGAGCTGAGGTGGAGCGAAAATTTACTGATTGAAGCGGAGCGGATGCAGAAATTTTCTTGTTGGAGCGGAGTTGGAGCGGAGCAACTCAAAAATGCCTGGAGCGAGAAAGAGCCAGAGCTGCTCATCTCTGAACGTAACTGCTTATTCTCAAATATTTGGTTAGAATATTTCAACTGATGATTACTTTAAAGCAATTAATCAAGATTTTATCGTCATCTTTCAATATGAAGAAATTGAACGCTTGTTAGAAGAAAAGAAAACCATGTACTCAATATGATGACGAATAAATAATTTTTAATCAAGCAGTATCTTATGAATGTCTTTAGTTCAGACGTCGAGATCTTTCGGTCTTGTATTGTTTTATATGATTATTTTTGTATAAATTGCAATTTGGTTGTTTTTTAGATTTTATCTGATTTATCCTTTAATTCGACAAAAAATTATTCAATGGCGGATGATGATATATTAACTACATTAAAAATCCTGATCATAGGAGAAAGTGGTGTCGGAAAATCGAGTCTCTTGTTACGATTTACAGATGATAAATTTGATCCTGAACAACCAGCAAGTATGTCATGAAAAGGAGCGAATATATTACAGTTCATTATTAGTCTCATAAAAATGTACACAGTGATCAATTATTTTAGCTATTGGTGTTGATTTCAAAGTAAAACCATTAGATGTTGGAGGAAACAGAGTCAAACTTGCTATATGGGTAAGTAAACTATTGTGATTCTAGGGATCTGGAGTATTTATTTGTTAAAGAGGACTACATTTCGATGGTAAATAAAGATACTGTGAAAGGAATGAGTAAGAAAACAAAAACGTTTGTTTCGAAATTATTCTCTAATATGAAATACGTTGTTTTACTGTTTCCTTCCATTTATTAATAAAGTCAAACAGATAGATTTACGAAAATTGCAGCTCTTGTAGCGTAGACAGCTTGTTCGCGTTACGCCGGAAGTACACCGCATTTTCTTCAAACTGATCAAGCTATACCGTTGCAACGAAAAATCATACAGAGCTTGAAGCAGAGGCCTGCGGGACCAAAAAAGTTTGGTCCCGGTCTCGTGGAAACAACTCGTTTTTGATCCCGATTCCGTGGTCCCGTAAATGTTTTCTCAAAGTAGCGCTGATAGTTTGAAAGTCAGCGCGTAGTAATGTGGCTCATGGAGCAGCATGTATGGGCGGTATTAATTGAAGACGTTTAGAATTTTCTATGAGTTCTTTCTCGTAGAACTGGTATCTACATATAAACAACTAAGAAATTAACTAGAAACTAAGAAATTTTTATGCTCCATACAAGACTATTTTCAAAAAAACCTGATCGCGGTCGCATTAAAAGTCCTACAGGATCGGAACCATCCCGCAGATCTCTAGGTCTCGGTCCCATGAAGTTTGGTCCCGATCCCGTAAAAAAGATTTTTCTAAATCCCGGTCCCACAGACTTTTAGCTTGAAGACGTTTCATTTTAAAGAGTAAACATTTTCCTTTTAATTGATAAGTAAGCAAATGTTGATCTGTTGACTATGGAAATTTGCTTACACTTGTTAATTAAAAGGAAAATGTTTACTCTTTAAAATAAAATGTCTTAAAGCTCTGTCTAACGTTTGTCTGAAATGCTGTGATATCAGTAAAAGGTAACACACTTACTAAGAAGCTGATCACTGGTCAGACAAATCGTGGAGACTTGTTTTACTTCACGGGGTCATTAGGTTAGCAAATCCTTGGTTAGTGTTTACTGTTTAGTAAAGCGACTATTATTTGAGGATGTTATTATTTTAGAAACAGTCAATGCAGTGCTTGATTTGTTAGTCTTTAAAACTGATGGTGATATACAGACAGCTGCGTAACCATATCTAAGTCCTCATCAGGATCACTAATTGTTTGTGTCCTATTAAGAAAAAATATTTTGTTCTTTTGCAGGATACAGCAGGTCAAGAACGTTTTCGAACTTTAACACCAAGTTACTATCGGTAAGAGATTACTTCTTGTTTTCTAAGACATAAAGTATGTTTATTGTTCCCTTTATAGAGGCGCACAAGGAGCGATACTCGTTTACGATGTTTGCAATAGAGATTCATTTCGTCAACTCGATAGATGGATCAGTGAATTAGATACATTTGCAACAAAATCA